CGTAAATAATTTTAAAACGTAAATAATTGTGAAATCCAGACTTTTTTTTAACTACATCAGACACAAACCAAAGTCAAATAAAAATCTTGAAATGCCAAGACTCAGCTGCTGCATTATATTTGTTCGCCATACAAATGCAGATCACTTGAGATTTCTAATGTTCATTCTAGAGCAAATGGTTTTCAATTGTGTGCATGTATACTTTGATTCATTACTTTCATTGCTTTGGTGCAAGGAAAAATTTCGAGCGAAATCAGAGAGAAAGAAAGAGAGAATTCAATTCGCCTCAAAAATTCACAATAGACATAAACTTGCATATTATTATTCAGTCGTTTTTCATGTCATTTATTTCTGAAAATAACATTGCTGACTAAGTGTAACAGATAATGTATTATGAAATTTATTTTGTTTACCTTTACTGGCAATATACTGCGTGTATTTGTAAAATTTGAAATGCATTAACGGTAAATCTCTGTAACATTTAACGAAGAATAGAATACCTAAACCTTATCTCTCCTTGTCATGAAGTGCTTAATAACAGGTAAAATATAGTTTTTGAACAGTACTTGTGTGTTTTTCAAGATGAAATCTCGCCATCTCGTCACCGACCCCTAAAATTTACATTAGCTTCATTCAATGAACGTTGTACTTACGTCGTTCAAAGGGAGATCATTTGAGTACATCCAGAGTTACCTTATGCAAATTTCACAAGATGACTGCTAAGCATTTGAGAGATTAGTATAAATTGGAGATTTCTGGAGGGTGGTGGTGGGCTAATATTTCTGCTTGTTTCAGGCAATAAAAAGACACGTGAACCAATGAACCAGGCAATAAAAAGACACGTGAACCAATGAACCAACCTGGTTCATATTTCTGCACATGCATGTACATGCATTGTACTGCATATGCAACCTGTGAACCTAATGCTTGATCAAATAAATTCTTCTTATTTTCAGGGACACCTATTGATATAGTGTTTTTATAAAATAAATTTTAACCTCAGATATTTGAATCTTAATACATTTTCTATTCTTGCAATTAATGTCTTGTCTGCATTAATCAGAGTTGTGACTGTGTTAATTTTGAAGGATCAAAATGGTAAGAAAACTTATTCTTTACAATGATTAAGAATGCATTTTTTGTAGGAATTAAGATATAGCAATTACAAGGATGTGACTAAAAAGGCACATGCTCTTTGTTGAATTAAAAACGATACAAAACTTTTCTTTCTGTTGTGAAGAATGTAAATGTAATACAAATCATTGTTGCAGTCTTTGAAAAGTAACTGTTTTGTGAGCTGAACTCTACTCATCACGTGACCAGAAACCGTTCACCGCTATCAATCGAAAGCATGAGTACGAAAGCCTATTAGGATCAAACTACGGTAAAAAAAAAATTTAAAAGGCGTTATAATGCCTTTTCAAAAGGCGTTATAACGCGAAAAAAGGCGTAATAACGTAAATAAAGGCGTAATTACGCCTTTCCAAAAGGCGTTATAACGCGAAAAAAGGCGTTATTACGCCTTTCCAAAAGGCGTTATTACGCCTTTTAAAAAGGCGTTATAACGCCTTTCCAAAAGGCGTTATTACGCCTTTCCAAAAGGCGTTATAACGCCTTTCCAAAAGGCGTTATTACGCCTTTCCAAAAGACGTTATTACGCCTTTCAAAAAGGCGTTATAACGCCTTTCCAAAAGGCGTTATTACGCCTTTCCAAAAGGCGTTATAACGCCTTTCCAAAAGGCGTTATTACGCCTTTTAAAAAGTCGTTATTACGCCTCTTTTTTTCAATACATGACTTACTTAGCCCACCCTGGGGGCTGATTATAATTAGATTTCTAGGAAAAAAGATTTTTAAATGTGTAAAATATTTTCAGTGTTAAACCAACTTAGTCCTTCTCTGATGCCAGACGCTTCTATCAAGGTGTATGGATTTCAGAAATTTTGTTGAAGGCTAATTGCTCATTATACCTATGCAAATACTTTGCCTGTTTTTTACCAAGAGGAGAGAAAAATATTTCAAATTTGACATGAATTTTTAATACGTGGCTAGCAAAACCCAAAGCTGGTTCTGCCTATATTCTGGATTTTCAAAAGTAGAGTGTTGACTTCTCTTAATATGCATGCAAAATGCAAACAACTGTCTGCGAGATGTGCAGGAATATAGAAAATACTATAATTTATAATATAATTTATAATATTAAAACTATAATCTAAATATTGCATAAATAAAGATGTCTTTGGTTCAATCTTTCATATATTTACTATTTTAAAATAACGCCTTTCCATTTTTGGATACAACTCCTTTTCAAACAGGCCGGTAGTACGAATGTGAGTGGGGGGGGGGGGTCCCCCACTCCACTTTTTGGGAGAATAGTCTTGCTATAGTTTAAATATAAAAAATCATTAATTGATTGCTTGGTCCCTTAACATTTTGTTGCAGTATGGTTAAACTCGGGCAAGTCATTGCATTTAAAAAAAGTTTTACCGAAAAATTAGAAAAAGTTTCCCCTCAAGTTTAGGCAGTTTATTTTTTTCGGGGGGGGGTTCTTGTTTTTTTGTTTGCTTGTCAATTTTATGGGAAACCCCCCCCCCAACTTTAAAAGCACGGGCCTGTCAAAACATAATAATGGCCCTTCAAAAGGCATAATAACGCCTTTTAGAAAGGCGTAATAACGCCTTTTGGAAAGGCGTAATAACGCCTTTTGGAAAGGCGTTATAACGCCTTTTGGAAAGGCGTTATAACGCCTTTTAGAAAGGCGTAATAACGCCTTTTGGAAAGGCGTAATGACGCCTTTTTTCGCGTTATAACGCCTTTTGGAAAGGCGTAATTACGCCTTTATTTGCGTTATTACGCCTTTTTCCGCGTTATAACGCCTTTTCAAAAGGCGTTATTACGCCTTTTTTCGCGTTATAACGCCTTTTGAAAAGGCGTTATAACGCCTTTTAAATTTTTTTTACCGTAGTTTGATCCTAATAGGCTTTCGTACATGAGAGCTCTAACCGGCTTCAGGAACTTACATAGATAAATGATGTTTTAAATGATAACCGTCATAAGATTGCATTTTTGCATCAGTGTTAGATACATTGCTACGCATTGCCGTTACAAGATCAATAAAGAACCGCCAATTACTTTTTTAATAATAAAATTTATGAAATTTATCCATGCCAAGAAAAGGTACGCATTCTAGTTTTAGAGCGAACTCAATAAAAGCGGAATTAGCGTTAATCTGTGATTTTTCCCCAGGGAGATGTGTGCGAGGCAATTATTGTCAGCAGTTTTGAGGGAAGGATCTTAAGTTTTACTGGTTTGAAATTAAAGCTAGAATACTTACTATTTAGAAGCCTTTGCACCTTTTTTCCTGTAGTTTTTTTTTTAAAGGGGGGGGGGGCGATTTTCCATGCAAATCATATGCGGTTAAAAAAGTAAAAAAAAGAAAAAGAAAGTGAAATGATTTGTAGTGAAATAATTAAATGTTCAGTAAAAATTAGACGCCTTTCAAATTTTTCAGTGTTTATATATCAAAATATTTTTTTCCTAGTATAAATCAACATCGGGCACGATGAACTTGGTTGTTGTGGAAGTCTCGCGCCTTATTAAGGTATCATACCGGTAATTGACCAATGAAAATGAACTTGTGTAGTTCCATACATATAAAATTATTAGTTTTTCCTTTTGAATTTTTTTTTTTAATTTCCTTCCAGTCTATTTTTACAATTTTGGTACCTGTGTCTAGTGCATTTTACATATTTTGTAAATAAATAAAGGTTTTTGACAGGAACTATTTTTTTCAGGGCATAGGAGGCTACTTCCTGGGGTAGAAGTTTATTTTTCTTTGACTAAGAAAACGGAAAACTTAGGATCCACCCCCTCAAATCTGCTGCCGTTAATTGTCTCGCCAGCGTTAGGGGAATATGGGTGATTTGCATCAATTACACTTTTATTGACTCCATCGCTGTGGAAAAATGGACGGGATTTCTTGGCATGTTCGATGTATCAGATTGCGTGAAATTCGCATTCTTGACAAAAAGCTTGCAATTTCGATTATTAACATCATTCATGCGTAAATAATTTTAAAACGTAAATAATTGTGAAATCCAGATTTTTTTAACTACATCAGACACAAACAAAAGTCAAATAAAAATCTTGAAATGCCACGACTCAGCTGCTGCATTATACTTGTTCGCCATACAAATGCAGATCACTTGAGATTTCTAATGTTCATTCTAGAACAAATGGGTTTCAATTGTGTGCATGTATACTTTGATTTATTACTTTCATTGCTTTGGTGCAAGGAAAAATTTCAAGCATGAAATCAGAGAGAGAGAGAGAACGCGACCACCACTGTACCATACCCAACATCCCCAAAAAAGCAATTGAAGCAATTGAAAAGGTGTAATGTAATGTTCTTCAAAGAAATATTTGTTATATAGAAATGTATGTATAAATTCTCTTTTTCAACTGTATTTTAGAATGCACATGCTCTTCCAGGACTTTTGTTTTACCCCCCCCCCCTTTCAAAAAACTTTTTACGGCCCTCAATATGCCCCCCCCCCCTTGTCCTCACATACTTAATTATTCATATAAGCAAATGTTTCATAATAACTTATAGACTTATGTAAATAGACTGTGTGTATTGATGTATCACATAGTTACAGCTATGAAGTTAATTTTTAATCTTCATAATCCCTCCTTTGTGGGCATTAGGATCACCTGTCTTCCTGACTACCACGTGATATTGTGGTAACGGTTTGGCAACGTGCCCAATGTAACGGTACGTGAAATCGATTTTCATTGGCTACGAAATAGTGCTAATAGTTTCGTAAAATATAAGATGATGTTTTATCATTCAATTTTATTTATTATCGAAAAAATAAATATACCTTTATTAGACATTACTTTTACATTTCATGGGAACCCTTTTAACTTTGAAAATTTTAAGTATCAATAATCTGCAAATATAATTATCCAATGAAAATTGCTGTTACATCTCCTCTGGCAAAAGACCGCGAAAAGAATTATTACCCCATTGAGAATTGTTTTTGTTTACGGTTTAGTGTGAAGGAATTCTCAAGGATTAAAGAGATTAGAAAGTCGTGTATATAATTGTATATTGTTCATTATCACTTAATGACTGTGTGTCTTGTGAATGTAATGGGTTGAAGAGATGTGAATCCGAAGATGGATGTGTACCCAAGTCCACGACCAACCCCCCAATTTTTTCTAGAACCTCAGACATTCTCCACCAAAAAGGTAAGAGAGTGTCATCTACATGTCATTATTTACAACACTGTGAACTGACTGACTTCATTACCTACAACGTCTAGAACGAAAAACTACAAATTGTGGTGAATAAAAGTGAATATATTATTGCTGACCAAGCAATGTGTATAAATGGGGGGTGCCAATATGGTGTTCAGATATGCCAAGAGGTCAGTTCGAAATGTACAGTCTTCGGCATTTGTTCCCTGTCTTTTTCACATTTGTTCTCTTATATGTGAACCCAATGCTGTGCACTGGAGCTACCCTAGCTGTATGGAATAAGTGTGTTTTTGCAAGTATCTGAAGCTTAGAAGAGTTGCTGTCCTTAAGATTTACTCGCTGAGACAGCTAATTTAGACTTAATTCAAGGTGCCAGTGTTGATCTATGGTATTGTCTTCATTTTTACTCAAATGGGAAGTTTAGTATATTTTGTTGTGACAGTATTTTGAAGGTCATCCATCTTTGCAACCCTAATAAAATGTTCATATATTTCACTAGTGAACTTATTTGCAGGCTCGTTCAACCCCAAGGAATTGTGGTCCACCAAGACCTCCGGTTAAAAGTGCCCCTCCCATCAGCCGAATATTTCACCACCGTCCCATTGAGAGGGCCCAGGTAGTGTCATTTCGCAGTGATGAAGGCAGTAGATGTATCCTTTATACACCTCTATTTGTGCAATATCTGCTTTGCATGAAAAATATGTTTCATGGTATAACTAGGGGTGCAACGATACACTAACCTCACGATACGATACGTATCACGGTATTCAGTTCACGATACGATACGTATCACGATACATGACAAGGTTAAAAAGTCTTTCAAGTTTGTATCGTATTCTTTTTTAAACCTTGACAGGGTTATATAAATGTTCATATTTTTCTAATAATGATTAAAATAAAATTTTGTTAACTTGAATTGGATTGTTAGGTAGATCTTTGAGTTTTGACAATTTTCTAATTCAATGATGAACATTTACAGGGAACTACGGGGACCTTTCCTAATAATCTTCCTTTTAAATTGGAATGAAAAAGGAGTTGTCATATTTCTCATGTTAACACGTTTTAGTCAACAAGACAGTGAATTTTCATCGAAATACACAGGTGATGAAATATCGTGTATTACCAAAGAATACGTTTAAATCTAAAGGGTTTATCATTAGTCTTAACATCTATAACTTATAATCACATTAAGTCTTTCTCCGTGTTAAATCTGAGGTCTGTAAGATGCTGGAGATGAGTTTAACTTCCGTTAATGCGTTATCGGTGACCTCACGTTTTGCGCGGAAGCCATTTTGAAATTGTAAAAAAGGAAACAAAACGGACGATTCGGATAATTCTGGACCGATTGAACCGAACCGCGATATCAGTTTAGCGTATCGTGAATTGAACCGTGGAAAAATATACCGCGATATACCATCAAACGGTTTATCGTTGCACCCTTAGGTTTAACCATTCTATAATGTATAACATAGTATAACATAGCTCTTCTTTGAGTGAACACAGTTAAACAACATTATAATGAACTGCAGGGATGCAGTCACTGAAATTCCCTTAGCACTGCCCCTGTTAAATGCAATAAGTTAAACATTATTGTAAAGTATTGAGTGAAAAAACATGGTAAGCTCAACCAGTCAGGGGTGAGACTGAAATCCGTCATTTCTGAAAAATGATGGATAATCGTCAAATTTACTAACTACGTATTTTCGTCATTTTTGTCAATATGACTTACTATCGTCATATTTTCTTTTTCAACTTAATTCTTCTATCCTGGTTACATAAAAGCGAAATTTGAATTCACCGCTGAAAGAAGAGTGTTTATGCAAGTTTCATTTCATCCGGGTCACTAATTACTGCCAACCACGTGCGTTAGAACATCAACAGAAGGTGAAAGTTATTATTTAGCGGTAAAATGTCGAATTTTGGTAGAACTAATTCGCCATTTTTACATGGCTTTTAAACCTATAAAAACATATAGTACACCGTCTGGAAGAATACATACTTGTAGAGAAAAGTCTCGACAAAAAGTTAAAGCCATAAAAAAGTAGTGCGCCCCGTAAAAACAAGCGAGATATTTCAGTGCGCCCAGACCCTCCATTTTGAAAAAAGACGGCATATCGCCATTTTCGTCTTCTTTCCTATTTAATGCAAATAAATTGACAAATAACTCTTCCACTCTTATTTTTGCTTGGGAAATTTGTACTGTGTACATAACCAGTATTGTAGTCAACTGTATTAGAGAAATGAAGTTTGTTTACGATGTTTTTTGTCCTTTTTTCGGTTGGTGGATCTAACATTTTTCAAAGAGAGGTAACTCGGTATTCTAGAAACACTCTAAATTTTTATGACTGTTTTTCGTCATTTTCTTAAAAATGACGAGTTTAAGTCATAATAAAAATTTTATTTTATGACTAAAAATCGTCATTTTAAAAATGACGGATTTCAGTATCACCCCTGACTGTCAACATTGAAATAATCTAATTTCACTATACACTGTAAGAGTGTTTCTTCACCTTTATCCTTTATTTTCCCTTCCATTAGAGTGCTCAACAAATCGGGGTATTGCCTAGAGATTTCGTATTGCAATATATTGCGATATTTCTAACTGTATAACTATTGCGATATGTATTGCAATATTTTAATGAAAATTAAAGTTATATTTTCTTGTTATTTTGTAATGAGTTCAAATTTTGAAGGAGGAGTGACTCAGATGAAAAGACAGATAATTGTTAGAGGGATACCTTCTTAATTTCATCTTTAACAATGAATTGTATCAAAGTTTGCACTGCAAGGTAAACTCATTTTTATCTTTGTATCATTTAAGTACATTAAGCAACAGAGAAAATTTCCATTTTAGTAGGAAGGGAAGTTGTTTTCCTTAAGGGTAAGCCTTAAATCAGAGAAAATACAATTGCTTCATCATTGAGGCTGTAATTTAAAAAAACATTCTTGACCCCCCCCAAATAAAATACCAGTGTGCAATAGTACACTCTTCTCTCCTCTTGTCCAAGGCAATAAAGCCCTTGCTTGCTTAATATAGAAATATTTGACAAGTAGTGATACACATGCAGGGTTGTCCCTAAGATCCAGGGGATTTCCCCACCTCCAATGACATAATCCCCTGGTTATTCTGGTTCCCCTCAATCCCATGTTAATAGGGGGTGAAACCCTAGACACCCTTCTACTTTTTTAATGTCCCCCGCTATTTCAGTTCTTAGGGACAACCCTGACATGTATTGGAAAAAATATTAGTTCTCTACCATTGAGCAAAAAAGGTGCAGGATTGCATATGTACATTTACACCCTTTTATGAATGGTCTCAGGAAAACATTCAACATTGTGTAATTTTTTTGTTGTGATCTTTTCAACCAATAGCCTTCCTTTTCTTTAACTATGTGCTCAGCATTTCTAGAAAACCAGTACAATAGAAACAGCCACCATCTGTACTTTGAACAAGGATTTAAAGTTATAAATAGACTGGGATATGGATCTTTTGGAGAGGTTAGTAATGTTATCTAGTTTATTTTTTTTCATTTCTTGTATCTTTTTTTTCTTAGTTGATGTCCTGAAAATGTATTGAAGGCACACACACACACAACACATGCACACACACACATATAAAAAATCCATAAAAATAAGAACTTTTTTCATGCAGGTTTTCAAAGTCCAGAGCAAAGAGGATGGCAAGTTTTATGCAATAAAGAAGTCTCGAGATCCTTTCAGAGGAGAGTCAGATAGGTTAGCAAAATTTGAAGGGGAAAAAAGTATTTTATATTGTTTACAAAACTTCACGACAAATCATGTCAGATTATTTTGTTGACGTTCCTGTTGCTTTTGTGATCAGGAAAAGAAAATTTGAAGAAGTAGCAAAGCATGAGACGTTACCACCACATCCGAACTGTGTTCGTTTCTACAGGGCCTGGGAAGAACGACAGCATTTGTATATCCAAACTGAGCTCTGTAAGCTAAGGTATGAAAGAAATTTCAAGATTATTATTACTTATTCATTTGAAAGAAACATAAATAGAATTAAGTCTATCAGATTTTTTTTATGCTAATGTATAACATTTGATTTGGTATTATCAGCTTGACAGACTACACTGAACAGAATCATGATTTATCAGAGACAACCATAGCTAACTACTTGGTTGATTTACTGATGGTGAGTGCAATTTTGAGAAATCATTTAAGATTTGAACACCTTTTTCATAAACTATTTTGGATTTCTTTGTCATACAATATTCTTACAATATCTAATTAGAATATTTAAAAAAATATTGAAAGACATTTGATGAAGATTTAAATGATGTTTTGTATGTGTTGTAAAGTGATTTTCAACCATTGAACTTGGCATGTTATTTTTTTTGAAAGGCATTAAAACATTTACATGACCATAATCTGGTTCATATGGACATCAAACCAGATAATATTTTCATATCCTTTGATGATATCTGCAAACTTGGAGACTTTGGTTTAGTGTTGGACCTTACAAAGGTATGTGTTTGGACATTCTTCTCATTTTGCATTGCATAATGCAGTACATATCAGTTTTTATGGTCTCTGTGCAGTAGACAAGTCTAAAAATTTTTGAAAAATTCATATTTATTTAAGGGTAATGATATATCTGAAGCCCAAGAAGGAGATCCAAAATACCTGTCTCCAGAGCTTATGGAGGGCAAGTTTGGAAAGCCTGCTGATATATTCAGGTAAGCAAGAATTAAAAAATGTTGATCTCAGAGTACATGTAATTATAATACAGAGAAATCAATATTAAAGATACATATTTTAAAACTACCATGCCTAAATGTTTTCAGTCTTGGTATGACAATACTGGAGTTGGCAAGTGACCTTGATCTTCCACGGGGTGGAGAAGGGTGGCATATGCTACGCTCTGGACAACTACCTGAAGAATTCCTAAGAGGTAAGTGAAGTAATTCTAGTTCTAGTCTAAGGTTGTAGATCCACATTTACAATGGTTATGCCATTTTCTATTTGTATGAAAAAATGTTCTATTTATTGATGGGAAGACAAGTACATGGTTATATTTTACTTTTCAGACAAGTCTTTTGACCTCAAGTATGTGATACAGCAAATGTTAGATCCTGATCCAAAGGTTCGACCCACAGTAGACCAAGTGCTAGCTTTTCCATATGTCAGAAAAGTAAGTGTATTTGAAAAATTAAAGATAAGGAAACAGTTAAATGTGGTTCTTTCAATATCTGTCTCTTGAATTTCAATTTACTTGTTACTTTGTAGGTATGGAAGAAAAGACGAAGAGAGTACATGTACAAAAGAGCAGTAAGTGTTTGTATCTCAGCAAGACGAAAATTTACAGGAAATATCATCTACATGTTAAAGTAGTTTATATTGGAAGCAACAATTTATGTGCAAGCATTTCTTTGCTCAAATCAAAGGACTTTTAAATATGATTTTGTAGGTAAATATATTGTCAGTTCTGCTTCATAGCATGTTAGCCTTTTTTGTTCCTGATTATTTCTTAGTTCAAACCAAAGGACTTTAATATGATCTTGTAGGTAAATGCATTGTCAGCCTTGCTGCATAGCATACTAGCCTTTTTGTTCCTGATCACCAGTGTGTTCACACCAAGTTATTGGAGAAACTCCAGACTTAGTGTTGCTTCTAGCAGCAAACATAACAGCAGTTTTAGTAACCACAGCTCCAGTGGACTTGATCACGGTATTTCTGATGGTAAGTTAAACAATCATACATACTGGGAATTATCTTGCAAATTACTTAAAGTGTAATCTGACCATATGTAAACGATATGCAGCTTGAGAAGGAAGGAGATGTGTACTTATAAACATTATTATTATATTGACAGATGAATGCTTTGAGGATGATCTGAGCATACACAATAACTCCATGGGGTCACCTTTAGACAGCTCCTCAGGTGACAGCTTCAGTGAATTCATCGTTCCTTGGTAAGGATGATGGACTGCAAAAAGTTGCTATTTTCACTTTTATCAGGGTTTAATATCCATTAGATGCAGATCTGGTAAAAGGACCCATTCCCAATTGAAAATTAACTCTTTTTCCCCAAAATTTATAAAAGCATTACATATACATGTATATACAATATAAAAGTATTTCTCTTGTAAGCTTCTTTTTAATATTATATATATTACACTTCTCACATATTACACTTCAAAAAGTTATTGATTTGTAAAAAAAAAAAATGTTGAAAATATTAAAAATGTTTTTTTTTTTTTTTTAGTAAACCTCCTCCAAGAAGAGCATTCACATCCCCAGTGTCAAGACAACGACCTTTGAACTATGTTAGTCCTCCAATGAGTTCCTCTCCTTTGTTTTGCAAATCCAGGTAAAGAAGAAAACAAGTAAAAAGGGTCTCATTATTAACAATTTTTAATTCACATCAATATGCCCAACATTATTTTGGTAAAACATTGATGAAGGAATCAGATGGACAAAGTGCAAAATTTTAATGCAGTGTTAACAATGAAGTACAGGTAACTCTTGATGGCTCGAACTTCGATCTCTCGAAGTTCTTGATCGCTCAAAGTGAGTCTCCGGTCCCGAATTTTTCCACTATATAACTAAGCAAATTTACTCTTGATTTCTCGAACTCTTGATCTCTCGAAACCCTTGATCCCTCGAAGTCAAAATGCAGTCCCACTATGCATATTCTATTAGAATTTACCCTCGATACCTCGAAGTGGCTATGTGTATACAAGATTATATAATTAGCACCTTTACCTGGACATTTAAATGGCCCCAGGCAGAAGACGCGGGTCTCGAGGAACAGGATGTTTATTCAGGTGACACTTATGCTGCAAGGTGATAATTGATTTATAATGAATCATATTTTGCCTATATGCTATTAAAATAATTATCATCGACTGTCTTACGATAATTTAGAGACGCAGTGTCATTGAAAAGTAGTAATTTATTAAAAGACAAAACACTAATTTAATTTTTATTTCGAGTCAGTGTCAAAGTTAAACGAAATATGAAAAAAGCAGAAACAGCCTCAATGTCAATATGACGACTATTAATGGACAAATACTTACAGAACTTCGTTCAGTGATCATGTTTGGAATAGTCAATGCTATGTACGACGCTGTAGAATGTCGTTTTCATGTAACGAATGCGTAGTATGATGTCCGTATTACAAAGAATAAATAAATATACATGATATGACGATATACATTTTTTGCTTTACTCAGTTTAATGAAATATTCATCTGAATTATGAAAATATATCGTTGTTTTATAAAAACCACGTGTAAAAGGTTAGCACTGCATGAAAATCATTACATCCGGTAAGACTAATTTTAAAACCTGTCGACAAACCCGGAAAATTCCGGACTCTTGAAAACTCGAACTCTTGATTTCTCGAAGTTTTTCCTCGGTCCCGCGGACTTCGAGGTTTCGAGAGTTACCTGTATTCAAATGTATAGTGAAACCTGAATAATACGGGAGACAAATTTTGTGTTAGACATAGTGTCAGGTTATACAGTAAAAACAACATGGAAAAAAGTAAAATGGGAGTGAAAATATTCAAAGTGAAATGGATTGCACAGGTGTCGGATTAGGCAATTTAGTGTCGGAACATAAAATCAAAGAGAAAGGCAGAATAAGGAACACCCCCCCCCCCCCCCCCCAACAATTTTCTGTTTTATGCACAAGTTTGAATTACTATACAATGTGAATGAAAATAACAGGTTACACTTTTTTTTAAGTGAAAAGTAGAATTTGGTGAAAAATAAAAAGAAGGAAATTTTGAAATGTTATCCACCTCTTGTGGCTGTTGGGTATGCTGAGAATCAAATAGATGGGTTTTTGACTGCAGCATTGAAGATTGTTAATTGCAGACAATCAATAGGCTTAACTGATATTTACATTAATGTGTGCCATATTCGATCTTATCTGTACCTTGGCTTTTTTTTTTTTTTTATAGAAAACCAGATACGCCAAACACCAGCTTTGAGAGCAGTTTTGAAGATGAGCGATCTGTCACACCTACTTTCAACAGTAGTAACAATAATCTGATGGAGGGTGGAGAGGAGAGTAACAAAGTCAGCATCGAACCCAAGAATCTGATGGATGTAAGCCATCTTTTTCTCTCGGTGTTAATTATTACCAGTTACTTTGTAGTAGAGTCCGGTTAAAAAAAACTTCAAAATTACCATTTTACCTTAGTCACCAGTATGAGAAATATTATTTGTAGTAGAAAAATAGTGGGTGTTAGAGGCTTTGTAAATGGTATTTTCACCACTTTAATATTCCATACTAGTAATATTACCACTTTAGAAATACAAACATTTAATTAAGTTTCTGAGTATCATCATTTTACAGTTATGGAAGCAGCAAATATGGGCTTGCAGAAAATGGGTAATAATCGAAATATATTTTCTTCCAGATGTTTGATGCTACGAGTGATGAAGATTAGTGCATTGTTGAAAATCAGTGGATGTTGCTCAGCACCAAAAAGTATTAAGCTTGTAGACTTTGAGTTAACTGCTGTTTTATGTGTTCAACCAGCACCGACTGCCTCAAAGACTTCACCGAAATGTGTTCAGTAAGAATGCCAGCTTCAGGGGAAGCAACAGCTGTGAATAGTGCTTCATTATTTGTGTTGTGTATCACTTGATGATTATAGTATATGTATACTTTAGATAAGGAATAAGAAAACCCTAATTTTGGAGAATTACATGTGTGTAATATTATACTAGCATTTATCCCCATCATTTACATGCATGTTTAAATCATGAACATAATTTATGGAATAAGTATAAAAATTGGAATTTATTAAAACATTAAATTAGTTTTAGTTAAAAAATGGATTTTTATACAGTTAATTTTAGAGAAAGTCACCAAAATGTTTAATCTTGCCAAAGCCATTATGTCACTCGAATTCACAAAACCCATTTCACCAATTAATTGCTTGAATGTTTTGATATTATAAATCTTACAGAAAGCTGCCATAAAATATACACTCAGGCAAAAACCATTTATAGGTGCTTTATTTCAATATACTTAAAGAGTTAATAAAGTAAATAGGGCCACCATTTGTGTTTCATTCTACTTAAGTTGTTTTGATGTCAGAGACACTATAGACTGGTATATTCATTTTTTTATACTTTAAAAGGTTTATTTAAATGTTTGAATTAATTTTTTTTTTTGGTTGAACATAAATTCCTCCAAGAAAGTCCCACTTCAAATGTACAAAATCGTAGTCAAGTGGGATCAATTTACCTGTATCATTTATGTATAATTTCTTCTGTTTATTACAGAAAAGGATTGTAAAGATTTCATATTAAATGTCCTTTGTTATTATTTACATTTAATTTGTTGCTTCTGTTAGTTCTTGTTAATTTCTCTTATTGGAAGGACATGTTAATTTGATCTACATTTGTGAGTATAGACAACTTTTTTATACCCCCCGCAAACGAAGTTTAGGGGGGGTATATTGGAATCACCATGTCCGTCTGTCTGTCCGTCTGTCTGTCCGTCTGTCCGTCTGTCTGTAGACAAGATTCTGTCCAGAGCGTTTCTCGGAAACTATTGCATAGATTTGTCTGAAAATTTGTACACTTATTATTCACCATATGAAGGTGTGCACCTGGTATTTTCATCATGATTGAATAATTTTTCTGCATTTTACAGATGTTTTTTTTCATTTTTATTATGTGGTTTTGTCCTGACCTTTTCTCATAGACTATTTCATAGAATTGTATGAAAATTTGTACACTCATTATTTACCATATGAAGATGTGCACCTGGTATTTTCAACATTATTTGATAATTTTTCTGCATTTTACAAGGTTTTTTTTTTTTAATTTCTTTTTATTTTTATTGACTTAGTCATTTTGGGTTTATTTCTAAAGTTTGAGACACAGAATCTAGAACATCTGTACAAAAATGTGAACTACAGCTTAAAACTATTCATTAAAACAAAAAAAAATCACCAAGTATTAAAAGCAATTTTTACATTACACAGCAGATAGTGTAAATCCATTTGTCCCTTGGGAGTAATGAGTGGACATCATCCAGTTAGAGATAAATTAATGAGTTCAGTGTGGGAAGTTGTTAGGGCATCTCTGATCAAGCATGTGTTATCTATATCTCCTGGGAATTTAAAGATCTCTGTTCTTTAATTCTCTTAATTGTAATTTATTGTCTGTCATAGTACATAGTTACTGGATGACCAGCCATTCATTTTTAAAATGAATTTGATATAAAGTTATCAAGATTAATTTGATTTTGTAATTAATTGATTTTTTTTTCAGCAATCAATTTGCAGAATGTCATGTCTCAAAAAGATGACAGATAGTTGCAACTTATTTTTTCAATGTATTAAAAAACAATGTAATTACAATGTATTGGTATTGATGTTTTATTAGGTTGTTCCTTGGTTTCATTCATTAAAAAAATATAATGAGCAATTATTTATTTCACGCTAAATGTTAATAAGAAAATTGTAAACACCTCGTAGATCCATAAAATATTAGTGATTTGGCACCTCTGAAAAACCCAGCGGGGGGTATTTGTCCCTTTTGGACAGTTCTAGTTTGTTACATGTATTTTACTGGAAAGCATTCTGAAATATGCATATGCAATTTTAGTACACAGTGCATCTAGAGTAAAATATTAAATACAAGCTGCTTGCAATTTTGATTTGTTTTTCCATTAACTTGTATTTTTGCCCAGGTTTGAGGTCAAGATTCCAGCAAGAGATGACATTTTATGGGCATTTATGCAGAATATTATATGGGTACACTCAACTAATACATTTCCCATAGGTTTTCTCGCACAGCTCCTCCCCTAATTTTCGTTGAAGGATGGGACACCCCTCAAATGAAATTCTTTGGTTAAAATCTGGAGGTGGCATGTCAGATTCGTTTTCTGGCGAAATGCACATGTTCACAAAAACATCTGAAAAAGAAAGTAAAAGTAGGGTAATTCCCAAAGTCAGGGTATGCACATATCAAACAATTCAATTCCTTTCCTTTTAAAAGTTAACACAAAAATGAAAATGGTTTTGAACATGGAATTTTCTCTTCTTTCATATGTACATGTGTCAAGCATCTTTAGTTCAGATGACCTACTTATTAGTCCCCTACCGGTGAAACCGGAGGGGACTTAAGGTTTCCTCTGAGTCTGTCCGTCCGTCTGTCTGTCTGTCCCACTTGGTTTTCTGCACTTTTTTCCTAAACGCTTGCAGATATTGAGCTGATTTTTGGTATGTGAGTGTATCTTGATGAGTTACAGATCAAGTTTGCATTTCGTTCCGCTTCATTGATTTTTGACGGAATTATGACCTTTTCAATTTTTCAGGGTTTTCCGCGATTTTTTTCTAAATGCTTTGAGATAATGAGCTGATTTTTGGTATGTGACTTTACCTTGATTACTTATAGATCAAGTTTGCATTTCATTCCGCTTCAGTGATTTTTGACGGAATTATGGCATTTTCAATTTTTAGCGGGAACCAGATTACACTTGCCGGTAGGGGACTAGTATTACTAATGCAATAATCTCAGAATGCTTGTTTTATATACTGCTTGAAAGTTAAAGAACTGTTCTGTTTTAGTGAACTACTTTCTTCCCCTACCAATTCGAAAAATAATAATTAGAGGTATGTACCCATATATAGTGGTGTATTCAGGCAAAGCCTATATATATCCTCTTTCTTTATGTACAGTATGCACGTACATGGGATATATGCTGAGGTCTGGATCACTGTTGGAAAAATGTTTTGAAGATGTGGAAAAATTGCAAGAATTGGAAAACTGAAAAAGTCACAGGACCATATCAATACTCTGACCTTTGTTTATCATTCATAACCCTTGTTATATTTTTTCACTGATCCATACTCAAAAGATTTTGTCTAAACAATTTTTTCCTATGTACTAAAAAGATTAAAAAATATATATTGCAGAACACTTGACCTTTGACCAAGTGTTTATAATTTATTTTGAAGCCGTTTCCATATAATTATATATGAAGGCTATAGGTTACAAATTGTGTAAGTTGTTGCATAAGATTGGTCATATTTTTGTAATATCAACCTTTGACAATCTGACCCTCCCCCCCCCCCCCCCCCCCCCCCGCAAAAAAATTTTTAAAAAAAACTTCAGGTGTCTTCCCCTATTACTATACTTCACATATGTATTAAAAATGAAGTCTGGAAGTTGTAAAAGGTAATATAAAGTATTGCATCAAGTAAAGTGTTGACAGACAGCTGGAGGACCTGGTGATTACTAAAGGCACCATCAGGATGTGAGGCCCTAACAATGCTCACTTAAGTCACTTTGGCCCTGCTGTTATTCTGGAGATTTCTATCTCACCTCGACGAAGTCGAGATGAGCTTATGCTATACCCCCGGCGTCGGCGTTAGCATCGGCGTCCCAGTTAAAGTTTAGGAGCAAGTCCCATTCCCAAGTAACTATTAGCCCTACCTGGACCAAACTTGCATGGATGATGCATTTAGGGATGGACACTACCACACTTGCTTCGGATGCTGGATCTGACCTAGATTTTCCAGATGAGCGACCAGGTTAAAGTTTTTGGAGCAGGTCCATTCCCAAGTAACTATAAGCCCTACCTGGACCAAACTTGCATGTATGATGCAGCCTGGGATGGGCACTACCACATTTGCTGTGGATGCTGGATCTGACCTAGATTTTCCAGATGAGTGAGCAGGTTAAAGTTTTTGGAGCAGGTCCATTCCCAAGTAACTATAAGCCCTCCCTGGACCAAACTTTCATGGATGATGCATCTAGGGATGGACACTACCACACTTGCTTCGGATGCTGGATCTGACCTAGATTTTCCAGATGAGTGACCAGGTTAAAGTTTTAGGAGCAGGTCCATTTCCAAGTAACTATAAACCCTACCTGGACCAAACTTGCATGGATGTTGCATCTATAGGGATGGACACTACCACATATGCTTCAGATGCTGGATCTGACCTAGATTTTCCAGATGAATGACCAGGTTAAAGTTTTTGGAGCAGGTCCATTCCCAAGTAACTATAACCTTGACCAAACTTGCATGGATGATGCATCAAAAGGATGGACACTACCACTCTTGCTTCGGATGCTGGATCTGACCTAGATTTTCCAGATGAGTGACCAGGTTAAAGTTTTTTGAGCAGGTCCCTTCTCAGGTAAGTATAAGCCCTACCTTGACCAAACTTGCATGGGTGATGCATCCAAAGGATGGGCATTACCACACTTGCTTCGGATGCTGGATCTGAGATAGATTTTCTACATGTGAGACCAGGTTTAGATTTTAGAGCAGTCCTGTTCCAAAGTAACTATAAGCCCTACCTGGACCAAACTTTCATGGATGATGCATCTAGGGATGGACACTAACCAACCTGCTTCGGATGCTGGATCTGACCTAGATTTTCTACATGAGTGAATTTTAGCCATATTTTAACCAAATTAGCATGGATGATGTATCTAGGACTTGCTTTGGATTCTGAATCTGATCTACATTATCCAGATGAGTGACCAGGATAATTTTTTTGGTGTAGCTATATCATATTATGGCCTGTTATGATTAAACTTGAATAGATGGTGCATCTAAGGATGAAAACTTCCAGACTTGCTTTGGATGTTGGAACTGACCAAAATTTT